AGTAGTAACCAGAGACATCCAACAATTAACATATTTTGAATTCAGCAGAACACAATTCCTTTGAGTTGTGTGGAAAGATAATGTGACATTTTTTTTTCAATTATATGAGACAAAAAACAACTTTGTATATGACAAGAAATTTTATATAAAGTGGAAACAGATTGCTTTGCCACAGCTTAAATGGCCATATTGAACGGACAACTTTCCATGGTAAAAAAAAAAATTTGGTCAACAGTTTGTTTGGATTCTAGAATCTGGAAGCGTTTAGATACAATCACAAATATCCTCTATGCATTGTTTTCTCTTTTGCTGTTCTCTTAAAATTTTTTCCTATCTAAACCATCTTTGGATAGGAAATTAATCATGTAGCATTGGGTAAGTCCACCCAACACAGCAACACCAAAGTATCATCCTCAATAATCTTGATATATTTCAACCTCTTTGGGGGTTTATTGTTATTATTATTATTATTAATTACCACCATTAATGTTTTAAGAGAAATTCCTTGAATTGCATTCATTGCCTACCATCCCCTGCCTGTTATTCCTTAAAGATCAATGTGACCCTTAGAGGGCTTATTTGTGCTATTGAAAGAATTTGTCTTCTAACCATGCCCAGAGACTTTTCTAGTAGAACCTTCCTATGACTGCTTTACTTATTTATCTTCGACATGCCTGGTTTCTTATCTAAAAAGTTCTATTTAGTTGGCAGACTTAAATAATTAAATTTGATAACCAATACATTGATAACCAATAATTAAACTTTTTAAATAGGCCATCATGGCAGCAAATATTCTCATATTGATAGCATTGGATTGTCATGGTCACTCTGAAGAAGTTTGCTTCTTATTTTTTATAAACTTCTGTAATAGCCGGCATTTATTTACCAATTAATTTAGACCCCACACTATATAAATAAACTATGAACTTCTATTATATACATATCTCCATGCAATTGGCCTCCTTTACAAATAAGAAAACTGAGAGCAAGTAAGAGGTGAAGTTCAGATTTGAAAAGAGGCAGTTTGCCACCAGCCCTGTGCTCTTACCCAGTAAATTTCAACATCATGTTGTTTAAAGAAAAGAAAGAAAGAAGCAATTCAGCTGCCTCCTGCACACTCCCCACTGGGGATGTGCCCGCAACCAAGGTACATGCTCTTGACCGGAATCGAACCCAAGACCCTTCAGTTCGCAGGCCGACGCTCTATCCACTAAGCCAAACAGGTCAGGCTATTAAAAAGTTATTAAGAATTTCAATTAAGCCCTGACCTGTTAGTTCAGTTGGTTAGAGTGTTGTCCCAATACACCATGGATATGGGTTAGATCTCCGGTGATGAAATATACAGAAATCAATCAATGAATGCATACATAAGTAGAAACAAATTCTCTCTCTCTCTCTCTCTCTCTCTCTCTCTCTCTCTCTTTCTCTCCCCCTCATATGTGTGTGTGTGTTTCAAATCAATTTTTTTTAATGTAAAGAATTTCAATTAAAATCTGGGAGTAGAGCATCAAATCAAGTGTGTGGTCCTTCAACGTGTGAGGCCCTGTGTGACTAAAGGATTGCACACCCATGATGTTGGCCCTATTCACAAGGTCCAGAATCTTACATCTGTTCTTGACCCTGTGCAGCTATCTTTCTATAGACTTGAATGAAGTCTCGTGACATGAAAAGAACAAAAGTACCAGAGACCTTTTATTAAATCTGTCCCAGAATCACTCTAGTTTCTCCACTGAGGGCATCCTGGGGCACTGGTGCCTTTGATGAATTAGGACTGGCGTGGAGAGCAAGGCCACCAAGCCACCGGTCTGATGACTTGTACTCTCTGAAAGGAGAAGTATAGACCACTTATCTTAGCAGTTCAGGGTAGGATGGTAGCAGGATGTGGGGAAAAGAAAGAGGAAGCCCTGGGGAACTCCCACCAACCCCATAAAGAGGGAGTTTTCCATGTCTCCCAGAATCGTGGCAGCAACCTGTGAGATACAGCCATGTCCCTGGGTTGTTTGGAAGGGTTGGAAGGGGTCCATGTTAATTTATGCTTCAAATTCATAAACCTCGTGCTGGTCATTCAAATGCTTTGCCCCTTTATTTTTATTTTTTAAATATATTTTTATTGATTTCAGAGAGGAAGGAGTGGGAGAGAGAGATAGAAACTTCAATTATGAGAGAGAATCACCTATTGGTTGCCTCCTGCATGTCCCCTACTGGGGATTAAGCCCACAACCTGGGTATGTGCCCTTTGACCAGAATTGAACCCTTCAGTCCGCGGACCAACGCTCCATCCACTGAACCAAACCAGCTAGGGCTGCTTTGCCCTTTTAAATTATAAATGAAAGTGTTGTTGTTGTTTTTTTAGTTTTCCCTCTAAAAGTACAAAAGAACTGCATTTCAGAAAAAAATGTCATTAATTCTTGGACTTTGATTTAATCTGTGAAGTACATCAAAGGTATTGTCATTCAATGTGTAAGGAAGTCAAGAGTCAGAGCTGGTGCTTTTATAATCAAAATATATAGTTTTAAACTCAGGTCCCTCTCCTTACAGATTCTGTGATCTTGGGGAAGTTAATTAACCTCTTTGAAGCTCAGATTTTTAACCTGTCAAGTGAAAAAAGTGAAAAAAGAATACCAACCTCAGAGAGTTTTTATAAGCATTTATTGCATGAAGGTGCTTAGTGCAATACCTGAAATATAAGAACTCAAAAATGAAAGATATTATTTGATAAAGAAATAGATACACATACATTTCATGTATAAATACATTTATATTTCATTCATGCAATACACACACACACACACACACACATTAGTATAGATAGATAGATATAACATATTTTTTAAGTTTCTAAAATTTAGGCTCTCATATATTGAAGAAGGGGAAATGTGTGACTAGGAAGACTGGCTGGAATACATAGAGTTTCTTTTTTTCTGGACATGTTAAAATTTTTATTTTACTCACAATCAACAACAAAAAACCAGCTAGATATTATAACCAGTTTAAAAAAGCATTTTTCGAAGAACAACCTTACAGAACAGGAATGTTGAAAGTTGAGGCAAAACTGAGACCAAATTGAAGATATACTGAAGAGGACCAAAATTCCATTGCTTTCACTATTCTAGAACCCACCTAGTTGTAAAATAACTTCCCTACAATGGAAATCAGATAAACTGAAGGGATGTGCATAAATAATGTGTAGTTTTCTATTAATGCACAACATTTTCCTACACATGCAAAGCTTCATTTTCTGTTTTGTAACTATAAGATAAAGCTAACCTTTGTTCAAGTATAATAAAATACACAAAAGTAATATAATTAGAATGACAGAGGGGGTGAAGCATTTGAAGATGTGGAGTTCATTAAAAAGCTCTTCCATAACCAAATCACTTATATCTTTATTACTGGCGCCTGATCTGCATAGGTGCTGAAGCCAAAAACTTCCTGATCAGGTCTTCTTCCTCATGCTATATGTCTAACCTATTACCCACCCACTCCTTACGTTTTACTTCCACTGGTCTTAAATCCCACCAGTTCACTCCATTTTTACTGCTCCTTTCCTAGACCAAGCTTGTATCATTTGCAGAGTTCTTTTTGGGCTTTAGCCTGTCCCTGCTAACTCAATGCTCAACTTTCATGTCATTCAAATTAAATCACTACTGCCTGCACAGTTCGGGACACGGCATAGACCCTATGGTTTACATCAAGTAGATCAAGTGTCTACTTGAATATAAACCTAACATCATCCTCAGAAAAGCCAGGTGGGATTCCTGTCTGAAATTGTGGTGATGCGCTTCCAGGTGCTATGCAGGGCATTGACTCCAATGTATGAATTTCCAGGTGTTGAGGTTATCTTACTTAGACACCACCTCTCTCCCCAATCTCTAGCCACCTGATGCATTTTTTATGTCTCTTGATTTTTATCCTAGAAAATAAAATGGGAAGTACCCTAGTATCCCTTTTGCCAGTACACTGACAGAACATATGTTCAGATTTGCTTCCATAGTTTTTGCTTTATAGTTCCATCAAAAGTGTTGATAACAGATATTTTGTTATTATATGCCCAATATAGAATTCACCAAAAATTATCGATTTTAAAAATGGGGGAAAAAAGCAGAAGCTATCCAGGTCTATCTATATGCTGTCACAAAGGGTAAGATTTCCCTTCTTTTTATGGCTACGTAGTATTCCATTGTGTAAATGTATCACTGCCTTTTTTAAAAACTATTTTTTATTGATTTCAGAGAGATAGGGAGAGGGAGAGGGAGATAGAAACATCAATGATGAGAGAGAATCATTAATCGGCTGCCTCCTACACACCCCACATGGGGGATCAAGCCTGCAACCTAGGCACATGCCCTGACAGGGAATTGAACCATGACCTCCTGAGCCACGCTGGCTGGGCTACCACTGCTTTTTGTCCACTTATCTACTGATGGGACACTTGGAATCCTTCCAAATTTTGCTCATAGTAAATAATGCTGCAATTATGCAAAGTGAAATAAGCCAGTCAGAGAAAGACAAGTACCGTATGATTTCACTCATATGCAGGATCCAAAGAACAGAATGAACTAACAAGCAAAATAGAGACAGACTCATACATAGAGAGCAGGCTGGCAGCTGAGGGTGGGCTCGGGGAGGAGGGTGGGATTGAGCAAAATATAAAAGAAAGAGGAAACAAACTTATGGACTTGGATAACAGTGTGGTGATTGCCGAGGATGAAGAGAGTGGAGGAGGATATGGGGTGATGGACAGAGACTTGGCTTGGGTGGTGAACACACAATACAGTGTACAGATGATGTGTTGTAGAATTGTGCACCTGAAACCTGTATAATTTTGTTAACCAGTGTCACCCTGATAAATTCAATAAAAGGAAAAAACAACAACATAAAAAAACAGGTTAGACTGTGATGATGGTTGTACAACACTGAATTTACTACAAATCATGAATTATATACTTATAATGGGTGAATTTTATGGTTCTGTATGTTATATCTCAATACAATCTTTTAAAAACTGATTTTTAAAAAGAAAAAGCAATTGTATACCCAACATAAACAGTACTAACTTTTAAATATGCAAATAAACATAAAAATAACACATGCTATTCTGTTGTTTCGAAAGAGAATAAAAATATTTCAATGGCAGTCTTTTCAAGAGCGATTTGTGAAATGAATTTGTTTTGTGTCTGGACTTTACAGGAAGTTCCCTTGCTTGAACTTGGCTTGGAGGTTTGACTGAGTAAGTTGTTCCTTGACTTTTGAATTATTCATCTTGGCTGCATGATACGCAAATCACACTGCTCTCACTATGTCTAGAGGCACAGCACTGGGTCAGAAGCTGCATCAAGTTGCTGGCAAAGAATTTCTGTCAAGGGATTAGGACTTTCCAACAGAACGGTAAGTTGTAATGTAACTCATGTTGCCCAGGTATTTAAAGTAAATAAATGCCGTTTGTTAGGGGTTTCTTTAAAAAGTGGCTGTGTGCAATTAAAGTTTAAAGCAATGTTTAAATGAACTGTCTGAACTGTTGCTCATATGTACATGTAGGGCAGCAAAAGAAACTGAAAGGAAGTCATATATTTTTCCTTTACATTTATTTTTTTTAACAAATGTAAGGCCTTGTTTAAATGGCCAAATAATAAATTTATTTTCTTCTAAGAGGTTTATTGTATTTGCTTATGTTTTGGTAACTATATTTCATAAAAAAGGAACGAGAATTACTTAAGTAAACTTAACTATTTGAAAGAAATGTAAAGTTTCTAAATCATATGAAACAAATATCATATATATTATATATAGAAAATAATGTGCTAGATGAAATACTAAAATTTACCAATTGTGTTTGTAAAAATTGCATTATTCAAGAATATAACTCACTAGGGAAAAAGGGAAAATTTCAGAAATCATTGCTATTATATCTTCCAAAATGTTTTATAATTGGTGAGTTATTTTTAAGAAATTTAAAAAAAACACAATTTGACATCATATTTTAACATTTTAATCCTTTGACTTCTGGTGTAATTTCTGCAATATATAATATACATCAAGTCATCAACATTAAATGATTATATCTTTTCAGTGTAAATATGTTCTTTATTCAAATGGATTATTAATGAAAAAATCAATTTCATAAAAATATACACATATTACTGTGTAAATTTGGCTTAATAAAACAGTTAAGAATTAATATTTCATAAATGTTCTATATTATGATGAGTATAAGGAAAACAATGTAAAAGTTATTAAATTATCAAATATGTTTTTAATTTAAGTTTCAAAAGCATACACCTTTAAAAGGCTGAATATAATCAAAGTGAAAGAAAGATATTCTCAAGTTAAAATAAAGAACTGCTTATGTGAGTGAATATAACATTCCTTGTAGTTTAATAATTCTAACAGGTATAGGTATAATTTTGAATAAATAATTAAAGATTTTACTTTAATTGCCAATATCTAAAAACCTGTTAAAATAATTTGTCCAAATCATTTATAACAATTTTTATTTTCTAAAAATTAAAAATCAACCACTAGAAAATGGGAGAGAATATTTATTTTTCTTAGGGAAATTTCCTTTCAATTGGGAATTTTCTTTAAAGAAGCAGCTTATTTCATCAATTTGTAGAATTGTGATGGCCACACTAAGAACACACTTAACTACAAGCATCATTAAACTTGGAATCTATTACCCTGGAAATTGAGGATCCTGGCAAGGTTAAATTGGTTTGCAAATATTAGACAGACTTACATTTATAAAACCACAATTTATTAGTATTATGAATTTAGGAATAATATTTTTAAATAAAATAAATCTATCAAAAACAGATTGAAAAACATATTTCTATAAAAATAAATTCAAATAAGTATTAAACAGTAGGATGATATCAAAAAATTAGGAGTCATTGGTTTACAGAAATTTTGATTTCTTCTTTTTGCCTCTCTGCATTTTCTGAGTGTTACATAATAAAATGTTTTTGTTGTGTGTTTTTTAAAAGAATGAAGGAACCACTCTGAGAAAAAGGTCAAAGTTGACTAGCCATTCATTTTTCTTATTTCGGTCCTGATATTTTCTATCCCTGCTTTCTCCTTAATTTCCAATCCCAGTGGACAACTCAAAAACAGAAGAATCCATGGCTTCAACTTGGCTGAGTGTTAGCTATTGGTAATCTGCCTTCTAGTTATAGCTATATTTTTCTTTCATAGCAGTCAAACTTTTCTGCTGCATGTAAGCTACTGACATAAGTCAGTTCAGTACATTTAAGAACTGACTAGGCAGAAAAATAAGACTTATAACTAGAAAAAGAAGAAACTGAAAAATGAGACAAATAATTTTTTGTCTTAAAAACTTTCTATTGTCTTAATATTCATTTGAGTGTGTACACCAGTTTTTAAGTATTCCAAAAATAACTATGTTGCCCAGAACTGAGCTTTGAAGAGCTACATTTAAAGCTTGGGCAAGCAAGGATTAGACCACAGAAAAGTCTATAAACAGAGAGAGGACAACAGGAGATTGCCAATCGTAAAAGACTAGGAAGAGAGCATCTAGAAGTTATGGAATTGAAAGTAGCTAGAAGTAGAGTTAGAAGTAATAGTGAAAACTTACCAACAGTCTAAAAAATAAAGGCTATTGTTTAAAAAATACCTTTATAAAAAAATTAACCTTTTCCTTGTATTCCTAAGAATTTTTAATATTATTAAATACAAGCTGATATGGAGAAAATACAAAGTCTAGATAAATCAAAAGGAGAATGCACACTATAAAAATTATCTGGAATTTTATCACTACTGATAAAACTATTAATACTTTGGTACATGCCCTTGACTTTCTAATGTTTCTTAATTTCAGATGTGAACTCCTAAGTCTTTAATTATCCCTCATTTTTAAAAGTGGTCCTAGAAAATATATATTAAATTTTTCTTTCTTCCAATGTGTATCTAAATCACACGTACCACTATTACAATTGCCATTTTTTTTATTAGTCATATTATTTGCAGTGTCAGCTTTTATAGTAAAACTAGTGGCCTGTTGCACGAAGATTCACACAATAGGCCTTCCTTCCCCTGGCTGCCAGCACCGGTTTTCCTCCGGCACCCGGGACCCAGGCCTTTGGTCTGGCCGCAGCAGCGAGGCTTGGCTTCTCCACTCGGGCTGCTCCCAGCCCCTCCTTTTTTTTTTTTCAGCTCCTCAAGCAGAGGCCAGGGCTGGCTGGAAGCCTGGATCGCCCCCAGCGACCCAGGCTGCCACTCCTTGAGCAGAGCCCAGGCCCCCAGCCCCTCCTTGAGCAGAGCCCAGGGCGGGCTGGAAGCTTGGCTTCCTCTGTCACCAGGAGCAACCCAAGCCTCCTGCTCGCTCCAGCTTCGTGGCCACTGCCATCTTCAGTCATCTTCAGTCTTCACTCCGTGCCTGTGTATGCAAATTAACTGCCCTCTTTGTTGGGTTAATTTGCATAGTCACTCTGATTGGCTGGTGGGTGTAATGGAGTGGCGGAGTGATGGAGTGATGGTTAATTTGCATGTTTATCTTTTATTAGTGTAGATAGAGCAATGGGCTTAATTTGGTGAACTTACTATAGATTTGATTGTGGAGAAAATATTTACAAATATATTTTCTAAACAGTCAAGTGTTTATATTATCTCTCCACTCTGCAAGCATTTATAGGTCATCTACTATCTGGTAGTCACTGTGCCAGGTCTAGAAGATCCACTATGAGTAAGATAAAGTTGAGGCAAGTGCTAAAAAGAAGCTCAGTATAAAATGAGAGCATAAAATGTGAGGATCTAATTTAGACTGCTGGGTCAGAGAGGCTATCTTGGGAATCCCACTGATATCTGAGAGAAGTGTAGATAGAAGACAGAATACGTTATGGGGCAAGAACCACAGTGGGGAAGCTCAGTGAAAAGAAATTCAATGCACTGAATGTGAGTAGTCTTCTCTGTGCACTCAGAAACAGGAAGGAAGATGAGCAAGGAGGTGAGTCATGCTAGGTGAGGCTGAAGTGGAGTACAGGAGGCAGTTCATGCTGTGAGGTCCCCATGAAAGGTTTTGGAGATTATTCCTTTAGTGGAAAGTCATTTAAACATTTTGGTTGAGGAGAGTAGTTGTAGTTTTTAAATATCGTTTAGCTGTCATGTTGAAGGCAGATTGAAAGGGGGACAGAGTTGTGAGGAGACTATAGGAGGATATGGTACAATCCAAGATAGAGATGATGATGGCCAGGACTAGGCTGGTGATGAAGGTGTGAAGCAATAGAAATGCATTTGAAAAATATCCATACATTATAGACTATGAGACCTGGAAGTTTATTTGTAATTGGAGGCAAGCTATAGGTGACTTCAAGGATGTTTTTATATTTTAAAAGTAAAATGGCCTGGGAAAATGGTGAGGTCATTGATGGAGTTAGGTAGGAGTATAACATATCAGGGAGGAAGTTGAAGAGTTTAGTATAGGATTTCTGGAGGCAGAAGTGCCTGTAAGCAATGTATCAGTGGCAGTAAGTATAAATAACTAACACTTATAAGACAGGTCCAGGCTTTGATATACATTTGAGAGTTGATATATGGATGATCATTAAAGCTAGAAAGTGGATGAGATCATTCATGCAGTGTCTAGATAAAGAAGTTCAGTACTGAGCCTTGAGGAACTCAACATTAAACACTTAGGTCAAGAAGGCTTAAAAAGAGCCTTCAAAGAACAAGGCAAAAAGAAGGAAAATTAGGAAATTGTCATTTTATAGAGGGTAAAGGAAGAGAGTGTTTACAGAAGTCATGGTATAAAAAATAACTGAGAAGTCAAGAAAGAAGACTAGCAGTGAATACATGACCATTGGGTTGAGCAAAGTGGAAGCTGTTTTGGTTGTGTGGTGGGTCAGAAGCCAATTGGAGTAAAGGGAATGGGGTGTCAGGATATCAAAGCAATTAGTGAAGACAGCTCTTTGTTGTAATTCAAGCTAATGAGAGAAACCTTTGAAACCAAGGAGAATTGTTAATGTCTGCTCTTTATTTTTAAGACAAGAGAGAGTGTTTATATGCCAATGGAAAAGAAGTAGCTGAGCAGGAGAAGAAGGCTGAAGAGACAGGAAAGAGAGAGTTTTGATAACAGTTAACATTCCTGAGAATTTGGGAATGAGTTGGATCTGGAGTAAGCCCAGAGGAATAGACATTCTCTGTTGTCACTGGAAGGAAGGAGAAGACAGGTACAGAGGCCAGAACCAGAGAGTGGACATCCATGAATGGACTCTCCCTCAGGGAACACGAAGACAAAAACATCTGCTAATGAGGAGTAGGGAGAGTAGGTAGAAGTGGTTTGAAAAATTGGGAAAGATATGAAATTGAGAAATGTACTATATTCCTGGAGATGTGAGAAAGCAGGAGAGCAGTAGAATCAGATATGCTCAAAGATGGAGATAAGCCAACCTGCTCAGTTCTTCAGCAGCGTTCATGTGCCTGCTGCCCAAAGAAGTTCCTATCCAGCTGTGTCTAGAGTTGGACTCAGTGGCAGGTTGCCCTGGAAAGACTTGAGGAGAGGCTCAGAGGAACTTACAATGTTTTAAAGAGTGATTAAAATAACATCAAAATATTGAATTTGTCATATCTACAATTCCATGAATTGTTTTCATAAATAAAACACTCACCAGCAATCTTTTACTGAAGTAGACCACTTAAATTTGACAAAATATATGAATTTTCCAGAAGCTTTCATGATAGCGAATTCTGCTCAATGTTTTCATGTTTCCCAGAAGAAAAAAAAACAGTTCAGGTCATTTGACCTTATTTTGCTCTATTTACCAAAATACTTATATTGAAAGAATCATTTGGTTGCAACTAGCACACAGAGTTCTATATGACAGAGATTTTTGGAAAATTTTATTTTCAACTTTGGTTTTTTCCTCACTAGAAATAAGTAGGATTCAATATTTAATAATGGCAATTCAGTACATTTTTAAGAAGCTCGAGTTCTTTAAGTACCCTACTCAACCAGAAACAATCTGTTCTCATTACAAGAGAAAACATGGTAGGTGAGCGAGATATATGTGGGTTGAATGAATCAGGTTGCTTATTTTCATGACCCCCTGTTTCGAAGATGCTATGATATAGGTATTTTATTAGATGAAAGAACTGGATTTTCATTTCATGAATTTAATAAAAATAAGCATAATACTTTAACAATATAGAAACAAAGTAAGAGCTATGGAAATGTCAAGAATGGAGTTATAACAATCATTGTTTCCTCTTCTAGGTTATAATTCAATCTAATTTAACTCAGCAGAACTTGTCAGACAACTACAGTGTGCTGGAGAACATGGTAGGTCCTGGAAACGTCTGTCTTCACTCACTTCACTGCATTTTTCATTGGTCTCTTTACAGTTTTTCAAATCCTCTATGTGTGTTTCCACCTCATGGCCTTTGCACATGCCTTTCCTAATGCCTGAAATACTCTTTATCATATACAGGGTGGGGCAAAAGTAGGTTTACAGTGTGAGTATGTGAAACACAGAGTTTATTCTTGTATTATTATTTATTAATTACTAGAGGCCCGATGCACTAATTCGTGCACCAGTGGGGGCCTGGCCTACAGGATTGGGCTGAAATCAGCTGAGGGGTCCCAGATTGGGAGAGAGATCAGACCAGGCCAAGGGACCCTACCAGTGCACAGTCGGGGCTGGGGAGGGACACAGGAAGTTGGCCAGCCGGAGAGGGACTGTGGGAGGACTCCAGGGAGTTTCCTGCCCATCTCACTCAGTCCTGATCTGCCGGAACCCAGCAGCAAGCTAACCTACTGGTCAGAGCGTCTGCCCCCGCCCAGTGGTCAGTGAACATCATAGCAAGTGGTTGAGTGGCCTTAGCATATTATTAGCATATCATGCTTTGATTGGTTGAACGGATGACCAGACACTTAGCATATTAGGCTTTTATTATATAGGATTATATTATTTTCCATAGGAACAATTATAAACCCCCACCTTTTATTATATGCACTTCTTTTTTCAATTTCTGATTCTTCTCAAGATATTATAAATTGTTTGAAATTAGAAACTTTCATTCATTGTTGTTATTCTCACTGGCTAGCACACAGTTCAAAGGTATTAATAAATATTTTTTGAAACATTAGTCACATATACATGCATATACATGTGTACTCCTTACACATGTAGACCACTCTCCATATAGTCAACTTTTTTGAGCGTTCTTTTAGAATTATTATGTTAAGTGCCATTATGTCCTTAGCCATCCTTTCATGTTTCATCCTTATATTTTCTCTCTCTCCTTTAGGCATGGAATGCATCTTGCGAAAACTGGCTGGCAGCAGAGGCTGCCCTAGGAAAGTACTACCTTTCCATTTTTTATGGGATTGAGTTTGTTGTGGGAGTCCTTGGGAATAGCCTTGTGGTTTTCGGCTACCTCTTCTGTCTGAAGAACTGGAATAGCAGTAACATCTATCTCTTTAACCTCTCTATCTCTGACTTCGCTTTTCTGTGCACACTGCCCATGCTGATCAAAAGTTATGCCATTGAAAACTGGACATATGGAGATGTGCTCTGCACCAGCAACCGGTACATGCTTCATGCCAACCTCTACACCAGCATCCTCTTCCTCACTTTCGTCAGCATTGATCGCTACCTGCTCATGAATTACCCTTTCCGAGAACACCTTCTGCAAAAGAAAGAGTTTGCTGTTTTAATCTCTTTGGCCATTTGGGTTCTGGTGACCTTAGAGCTCGTGCCCATGGTTCTCTTTATCAATCCCGTTACAGGTGGCAATAAAACCAGATGTAGGGATTATGCAAGTTCTGGGGATGCCAAGGCCAGCTTCATTTACAGCATGTGCCTTACCTTCTTGGGGTTCCTCATTCCTCTTTTTGTGATGTGCTTCTTTTATTTCAAGATCGCTGTCTTCCTAAAGCAGAGAGCCAAGGCACAGGCTACCACGCTGCCCTTTGAAAAGCCCCTCAACTTAGTCATATTGGCCGTGGTGATTTTCTCTGTGCTTTTCACTCCCTACCACGTCATGCGGAACCTGAGGATCTTTTCACGGCTGTGGGACGAGAAGGAGGCCGAATGCCCCAGGGCCATCATCCACTCCTTATACATTGTGACCAGGCCCTTGGCCTTCCTGAACAGTGTCATCAACCCCGTCTTCTATTTCCTTGTGGGGGATCACTTCAGGGAGATGCTGACGAATAAGCTGAGGCACCACTTTCAATCCCTTATGTGCTTTAGGAGATGTGCTAATGGACTCATGTTTTCATTCAGAAAAGAGTGAGGTGCCTGTGGAACAGAACATCTTATACACGCAGTTGTGGGCCAGTTAGAGTTTGATGGACTCGGACATAAACCAGAGCGGGTCACAGATCCGCCCCTGATTTTAAGACGTGGTGTACTCAGAGTACATAAAAAAGAAGAGGATGAGAAGAATTTATTTGTTTGTCCACTTACAAATTGAAAGAAGTCGGACAAGCAGGAATATCTGGGCATATACATTCAAAATCCTAGATGTTATAATACCTCAATCAGTGTGAGAAGAATAGAAGCTAGATAGAGTAGCAAGTTTGCATTTGATCTTCGGTTGGACTGTAAAATAAAATTGTTTTGGCAAAATTCTCCTGTGTTTTTCTTATTCATACTCTCCTATAACTTTATGTGAGAATTGAATAGCAGATTTTACATACATTATTAAGTATTATTGTTAGAAGTTGTACTCTTAAGCAAATTTAAAGTAAAGAGTAACAATAATGAGCAGCAAAGCAATAAAACAAGTTCAAGGATGCTTATATATCCCTTTATATTGATCATGAATTGGGTCAACTCTCCTTTTTGTTCTATGGTTTATAGTGTAAATAATCATATTGAATAGAGATATTCAACAATGGGAAAGGAATCTTTGAGCTTGGTTGTTAGGGAATTTAGATGTAAATGATTTTAACAAAATACTAGAAAGAGATACCAAAGACAATTGCAAAAACCTCAGAGTTATAGAACACAAAGTGCCTATCAGGGAACCCAAAGCAAGAAAAACATCACAAAAGTGAGTAGACTGTGGGAGACATTGTGCCATCTGGCATTTAATTATAATACTTTGATCATCATTCCATGGAACTATATTAAAGTTTATTAGTCTTGCTGCTCTTGATTAAATAGGAAACCTTAAAGCAGTGGTTCTCAACCTTCTGGCCCTTTAAATACAGTTCCTCATGTTGTGATCCAACCATAAAATTATTTTTATTGCTACTTCATAACTGTAATGTTGTTACTGTTGTGAATTGTAATGTAAATATCTGATATGCAGGATGGTCTTAGGCGACCCCTATGAAAGGGTTGTTCGAATGCCAAAGGGGTCGCGACCCACAGGTTGAGAACCTCTGCCTTAAAGTATATGAATATGATAAAACCAACAAATAAGAGGAACTGAAGTGTTAATACTAGAATTTGTTGGCTTAGTTTTCCATTCTGAAGGAAAAATCATAGTTTTTCTCCTCCCCACCCCTACCCCCTACCCCCAGATACATTATTTCATAAGCACTGGGATAATTTACAAGGAAAATTTGATCTTAGAGAGAGTGACTCACATCTTGATTGAGCCTTGTTTGCATAGGACATTACTTAAGACCTTTGGAGGAAATGTTCTAAACAAAATACATTTTATGAAATTATAGAGTAAGAGGAATATTTATGTACGTATCAATATAGATGATCTCAGGATGGTAAGACACCATTCCATGCCACAAAACAAATTCAGGGGGAAAACAGTGCCTTTTAAAGTTAATAAACAGGTATATGTAATAATTCACTTATTATATGCAATGAGATGTGTCCATGGCCACAAGTTCCTTTCCTTGACGTCAGTAGTTATAAAGCGTGAATAACATGGAGGGTAAAATAAACATGAGTGCAGAGACATAAAATTCAATTTTCCTTCCTGTTCCAAGGTACTCTGGCCGTATTGTACTCTGATATTCAAAAAGGACAAAATAATCCCAGTTAATTCCTTTACTTCAAGCAACTGAAATATTATAAAAGCAAAATTACTCCAAAGGATTTATTTTCTAACCTGGTATTAGACTTTAAGATTTTTAAAGTTATTGTCTTGCCTTAGTTATTCATTCTTTAAAATTTTCAATGTAATTTTGTAACTGCCTGATAATAAACTGCAAACAGAATCTTCTGAAATTCCTCATCAGAAAAAAGCCACAAACTTAGGAAAAAAGCATTTGCTTATTTCTGCAACCTTTACAAGATATTTATGCCCAACCAGGGTGGCTCAGTGGTTGAGCATCAACCTATGAACCAGTAGGGCATAGTTCAATCCCTGGTCAGGGTATATGCCCATGTTGTGGGCTTGATCCCCAGTTCAGGGTGTGGAGTAGGCAGCCAATCAATGATTATCTCTCATCATTGATGTTTCTATAATTCTCTCCCTCTCCCTTCCTCTCTTATATTTTAAAAGACATAACTTAATCATAACTTGTATTTTATGCATGGGTTTTAATTTGTAAATATGAAATTAGATTTCCCCCACCCCTACCTCAAAAGGTGGTGGGATTGGACTCTTTCTTAATAGTTCAGTGAAATATTTTGTAAAACCATAAACTCTTACATATATCTTGTAACCAAAATGTTAAGTAATTTCATAGAAAATGTCTTCATTTTTTTTCTTGCTCAAAACTGTCATGAGGTAACTTAATTCTTAGAAGACTAAACAGAATTTCACTAAAATTATAAGAAATATAATTTGCTTTTTGTACTACGTGATTGTAAGAAGTACAAACAATAAATTCTTTTTAGTTTTGTGGTTTTCAAAGGAAATAATGTTGGGTTTTTGCATCTTGTCTTTGAATTGATGCTCAGTGTCTTCAGAATCATGTCTAAACTCTTTGGTCCAGCACTTTGCCATCTTCATACTTCACACACTATATCCTCCAGCCAAAGATTGCTACTTTATTTATTATATTCAGATTTTTCTTCACAGTGTACACTTGGGTGCTCACTCTTATTCCATCACGCCCATGTGTAAAAAATAAATACATTTTAAGGTCTGTCACATCTGCCTCTCCTTCACAAACCATTCTTTTATATTTTCTCCTCCCAAAATCTGGAAGTAAATCTGTCTACCTCAAGGACTTCAGACTAATTTTAAGCACTGCTTTTATAAAACACATTAATTTTCTCTTTATATTATAGTTGTTTAAATTCAAGTCTACTCTAAGGTCTATGAAGTTTTAAATGGTTATTTCCTATGAATGAATGTCCTACAGAACAACTTTGAATTCAATGTGCCTTTTGAGTGTGTGTGATCAAACTATTTTCAGTCACCCTCACTTTCATAAGAATTGCTATTTTATATAAAGAATAAAGTATATGTACACAAATATATGAGTCAGCTGCCATTGCCCAGTTCCTTATAATTTCCTCTACGCATAGAGACTACACCTTTAAGCAATTTAAATGAATGTTTGTATTCTTTGTCTGCTAGTTCCAAATCTAGGTCATTTCAAAGTTGGTCTTCATTGATTGCCTTTTCTCAAGTATGGGTCATAATTCCTGTTTCTTCATGTCTAATAAATTTGGATTATGTTCTGAAAATCATAAACAATATGTGTAGAGACTCTGTATTTTGTTATGTTCCACTGAATAATACTAATATTTTGTTTCATGGGTGAATTCAAACTCCAAATTCTGCAATATTAGTTTAGTTATGCTGCTTAGAATATACCCAGATATCCATCACTCAGGGGTCAGCTAAAGACTTGAGCAGAGATTATTCACAAGATACAGGGTTCCCTTTCTATAACTCTTCTTTTCTCCAGCTGCTGAGTTCACCCTTAACTTATCTTTTGTTTTCTCTTGCTAGATAGACTGCAATTTTCTTTCTGGATTTCGCACCCCTGTTAAGATGGTGACTTTTAGCCCAGCATAGTTAATCCCTCAATACTTTCTACCTCCTCTCCTCTGTCAAGTGTCATCAAGGTGTTATATATTCAGTCAGCTAATTAGGAATTAGAGCTATTGACTACAAGTATTAAATGCTAGGATATAAAACATTTACAAATGTACAGTTATATAAAAATAAATATATCTTTTTCTTGTCCCTCTCCACCAATGAAAGAGAATCTTCTTTATGTCCCTACTAGAAGCCCGGTGCACAAAATTCATACACGAGTAAGGTCCGTAGGCCTGGACAGCAATCAGAGCCTATTGGGGCCTTCTGGGGGCCAGCCGGGGCCTCCCTTCTAGCTGCTGGCCAGGGCTTCCCTTCCCCAGCTGCTGGCCAGGGCCTTCTTTCATTCCACACCACCCCCTGGTGGTCAGCACATGTCATAGAGAGCAATAGAACTCCCAGTCTCCTGCACTTTACACATTAGCCTTTTATATCCTACTAGAGGCCCGGTGCACAAAAATTTGTGCACTTGGAGGGGGGGGTCCCTCAGCCCAGCCTGTGCCCTCTCACAGTCTGGGACCCCTCAGAGGATAACCACCTGCTGGCTTAGGACCGCTCCCTGGGGGATTGTGCCTAAGATGGCAATCAGACATCCCTCTGGCAGTCTGGCAGCCCTCAGAGGATGTCCACTTGCCAGCGGGGAGCAGGCCTAAACTGCAGTTGGACATCCTTAGCACTGCTGAAGAGGCAGGAGAGGCTCCCACCACCACCGCTGTGCTGGCAGCCATCAGCCTGGCTTGTGGCTGAGCAGAGCTCCTCCCATGTGAGAACGTCCTGACCACCAGAGGGCAGCTTCTGCATTGAGCATCTGCCCCCTGGTGGTCAGTGTGTGTCATAGTGATCAGTCATTCCCAATCCTTCTGCTGTTAAGGTCAGTTTGCATATTACCCGTTTACTATATAGGATAGAGGCCTAGTGCATGGGTAGGGGCTGGCTGGTTTGCCCTGAGTGGTGTCCCGGATCAGAGTGGGGGTCCCGCTTGGGTGCCTGGCCAGCCTGGATGAGGGGATGATGGCTGTTTGTAGTTGGTCACACCCCCTTCAGGGTGGGGGTCCCCACTGGGGTGTCTGGCCAGTCTGGGTGAAGGGCTGTTTTCAGGCTGGTAGTTGACTGAAGCTCCCAATCTCTCTTTTTTTTTCTTTTTTTTTTTTTATTCTGGGATTTATTTACCTTCTATGGCTGTCACTGGAGTTGAGAGCTGGCTCCAGCTCTGAGGCTGTTGCCGGCAGAAAGCAGGTATCTGGGTTTGTTTAGATTCTATAATTGAAACTCTGTTGCCATCACTGGCCGCTCTAAGCTCTGAGGCCGCGCTGGCTGAAAGCAGGTTTCTGGGTTTGTTTAGCTTCTATAATTGCAACATTGTTGCATCCAGAGCTCAGAGGTGAACTGCGGCAGGCGGGGAACCTTGGCTTCCTCCATCACTGGAGCAAGCAAGCCTCATGTTCATTTCAGCTGCCTGGCTGCTGGCCGCCATCTTGGCTGGCAGTTAATTTGCATATCTCGCTGATTAGCCATTGGGAAGGGTAGCGAAGTTACGGTTAATTGCCATGTTTCTCTATTATTAGATAGGATACTAGAGGCCCGGTGCACAAAAATTTGTGCACTTGGGGGTAGGGGGTTCCTCAGCCCGGCCTGTGCCCTTTCACAGTCTGGGACCCCTTGGGG